CGCCTCGACTCTGAATCTTTTTGGGCATTAAGCCTTTCCGGTAAGTCATATTTGTCTCCATCTTATTATTCCTCGTTCCGTATGTCATTGTGATTGTATGGCAGCGAAGCATCAATTCAAATAGCTGGTGCATTGCTGTTGTTTGTCATGGCGATTTAACTGAATAGGCTAGCAACTGCCAAATGGTTTTGTTAGAGTAGGTTCAACGGGTATCATTTCTGTGGAAAATATCCTTACGTGACATGTGTGGATCATTTTTCTTGTGACACTCCTTTTGTGGTTACGCAGTACATCCTCGCCCTAGCACATTTCGCTTCTAAACCTCGTGTACACCCGTGTCTAACGCAGTTGAGCTTGGTTTCTCAAGTGTCTGATCAACGTACAACTGCGTGCTCTTTTTGTTTTTGCTTCCCACTACCACCGTTGCAGGTTTGTCACCTCAAACCTTCGTACCCTTGCCGAACCAAGGGTCTGCTTCTCGAGGGAGCACATGGATGGAGTCCGAATCTGTTCATTCAGTTGGTTCAAGAGCATGGTATGGATGTGGATGTGGCCCAACATTTGACTGAAGTCTACGGTGACAAAGCTTTGGTGATTGCGAATATGGCCAGTTTGACGGGACTCCGGTGGCCAATTTTGGGAAAGCGATTGCACCCAGAATTCCCCTATATCGAAGAAGAGGTACACCGTAATACAGACTTTCCCACATTTCGTTCATATATTGTCAGCTTTATCTCATAGCCACTGTTGACCTATCGCTCGTCGCTGTTCTTCTCGCCCTAAGATGAATATCTGTACTCTAGTTATATCCTACCTTCCGGAGCGGCCACGCTTTGTCGTCATTTTGCGCCAAACCTTTCATTGTTATCATTCAGGTTTTTTCATATTCCACCCATGCTGCCACGCAGTGAGCAGCAGTGACCACCCATCTAGTCGACAACTCATAGGCCCATGGCGATCACCCTTCAGGATGTCACCGTTCTCGATAACCCTCGCTTGGCTTGGGCGAATACCGCCGTAGTAGTGGCTCACATTGGAAGCGACTTGCTAGGATCTAAGATCTAGCTATCCAAGGGTAAGGTTAATCGAAGCACCTTCGGATGTTTGCTCATCCATTTGTGTGTGTTTAACCCTTTAGAGATGTTGTGCTTCCAATGCTGAAATACATTTTCCTACTTGGTCGGACTTTGGTATGTCGTTAGTTAGGTTATGTGGGGCGTACGCAGATAACTCGATCGTCGGAGAGAAATGTTCGGCCCACAAGTTCCATAGGTGATGACGTAGGAAGCGAAAGCGTTACTAGAGTATGTTTTGCTGGGCCAGGACTCTGTCACTCAGGAATTTACAAGAAAATTTGCATTACGATTATACTACTGTCTACCTTGTTTATTATTAACCACCTTTCTGTGTTCGCATCCACAAAACTTTAATTTCTTGCGACACTGACGCTGCAGCTGAATATGCCTGTGTATTGAGTGCATAGAGCTTGTTTTTGATTTGAAATACTGGTTAGGTTCAAACGCACCTGATGATCAAACACTGCAGCTACAACCTTCTGTTTTCTGCACACTATGTTATATGCACACACTGAGACAACGTTGCTTATCCTGCTAAGGTGATTCCGGACGTAAACAGCATTTGGACGCCGGAGTGTGATAACTGTGAGGTCATTCTACTTTCCCTGTAGACAGCACAAGGGACTTGTGACCGCGAGGTCACGAGTTCCCGAAGTTCGACACCATTTAGAACAATACATTCACTCGCTGACGATATAACGTATAACGCTTTTGCCAATCTCCCCCACCTGTGGCGCATACGCGACATTACTCTCGCCCTAAAGGGCAGTGTTTATAACGCAGCCGTCCTTTCTACTCTCCTATATGGTTGTGAAACCTGGCCCATTAGGTCGACAGACATAAAGAGGCTCGTCACATTAGATCATCGCTACCTTCGCAGCTTAGCTCATGTCTGGTGGGGGGCACCGCGTGAGCAATGAGCGTGTTCGACGTCGTGTATTTGGTGCAGGAAGAGCGAGTGAACTTCTCAGTACCATTATATCACGCACCAGGCTCCGATGGCTGGGCCACAGGTTGTGCATGCCAGCACACCGACTTCCGCGACGTGCATTGTTTGCGCGCCGGTGGTGCGGTTGGAAGAGGAGACCAAGCGATGACTTGGTCGAGAGAGATGGAAACCCTCACTTCGAAGTTGGCGTCGGTTAGTGCATCCCGACTACCTGCGTGGAGTCCTAAGGAGGATGAAAACATTTGATTGGACACACTTGCTTATATGGCTAGAAGCCGGCTCCAATGGCTTTTGTGTTGTGATTTCCTTTGTCCATCCGCCTCCTGCTTAGCCTCTCCCTCCAATCACAATCGCATTCGAATGGCATTCTATAACTTTGCGGCACGGTAGCCAGCTGTTAGCTCTCCGGAACGATGTCCATCCATTACTGGGGTCTCAGCCGGCGTGCCACAGTATTTTTTTCTTCTTGTCTTTTATATTGCGGCACAATAGCTGAAGTGTTTTCCACCTGCAGCTAACATGTCTAATGATGATGATGATTGGTCTTATGATGGAAGCGAAGATGCGAGAGGCGACCTCTTCAGCCTACCTTCAGAAGCTGCATTTGATCGCCCAAAGCATGCGCAGTCCGGCCGGTGACCCATACCCTCCACTTTCGCCCAACGAGAAAGTCCTGAATCCACTGGGGCAGTGATCCACCGACACCGCACATTCTCTACTTGTGGAGGAGGATCTCATGGTTCACCTTATCGAATGCCTTACTGAAATCGATGTAGGTTACCTCGACAGACTTCCCTGATTCACTGCCTACCCATTCATGCCTTGTTACCAGATGGTTCGTAATGCATCAGTAGCTAACATAAAGCCGTGTTGTGCGAGCGTCCCTCGATCTTTTGATTGGAGCAGCTGTAGTAAACCATTCCTCACGGTCCTATCGGCAACCTTGGCCAAAATAGGGGTCAGACATATCGGCCTGTAGTTGTCCACTTTGCTGGGGTCACCGACTTTTGGAATCGACATACCCACTGAGAATTTCTATTCGCTCGGCATTGAACCTTCGAATAGTGATCTGCTGAGCAAGTCAATCACAGCGGGTCAGATGATGGCCGATGAGGACTTGAGAATGGGGGGTTAGAGTCCGTCAGGACCTGCGGGTTTGGTGCCGTCAAGGTTGGGGAGCAGTTGCACCTCTTCAACACTGCAAACTAGACTGTCGAATTCAGTAAGCGCGGTACACGTCGAACTCGGATCAAACACCCGGTCATTTGCAAACACGGAAGCGAAGTGCGTCACCATGGCGGACGCATGCCCGGAGCTAGAGGTTTAGTACTGTCCGTCCGAGCTTTCTAGCACTGACAGATCACCTGCTGGCTTGAGGCGCCGCTTCACGTAAGCAAATATTCTTTTCGGAGCTGTCTTTGCGGCGGTTGCGAGCTGCTGTTCGAAATGCCGGCGCTTGCTTGTTTTTGCACTATTGCAAATATTTCGCTGTCTCTTATACGCCACGTAATCATTGGAAGAGATGGAGAGGAGGAGTTTGTTCCACAATTTGCACCGCCGAGCCATTTTACCATACGCCTTATCGAACCATTTCAGCTTGACTGATCCAACTTTCCGACACTTCATTGGTACAAACTGAGAACATAGTAATCTCATTCTTTCTCTACTTACAGTCCAACAGTCTTCCACAGATGCTGTTTGCGACAGAGCCAAATCTGCTTGGCTCGTGACTTGCGTTATAACGTCGAAGTTAGTTTTCCAGTAGTTGTAAGCTAGCTCAAGCGGACGGGAATACGGTAAAGATAAATCCATACTGGCTATGTGCACAGGGTGGTTGCTTGCTGCTAGGGACTCTAGGACCTGAACGTCATACACATGTTGTTCATAGCTTGTTTACACCAAGTCTAGGCATGGCGGAGTGGAGCGCGGCGTTAGTCGATTCGGCTGGTATATGTATTACGTTGCTCCACTTTCAAGTACTAGATCCACGAACTTTGTTTCGACCTCGCAATGTCCTGACCGGCGTATCCGAAGACAATTGAAATCACCCATGAGTAGAAAATGGGACGACTTATGTGGCTTCGGAGATGCGACAACCAATCCTAACAATGGCTGAGTGACTGCGATAAAATGCACCCACGAGCAGCTCCCCCCGTGAGGTGGATCGACTACCACAGCTGTTCCTACAAACCATCATCGCTTCTGTAGACGCTCAGAACTCTCCCACACAGGGAAGACCGGATGTAGAGCAAGACGCTACAGCGGGCAGTCGATAGTCTATCGTAGCGGAAGCACGAGTAGCCACTGAGTTCGATTTCCTGGGTTATCACTTCTGAATTCAGCCATGTCTCTGCGAGTCTGTCTGGCCGCTCAGATGCAAAGAAGCAACGGAGTTCATAGCGCTTGTTCATAAGACCACAAATGCTGTTGAAGACTACACGCAGGCCGCAGTAGGGACCATGGGGGGGGGGCTTGAAATGTGAGCGACCTGTTTATCCTGATTCGTGGAATCTTGGAAACAACTCAAAGATTTGCGATACGGTGATTCGTTTCCCCATCACTATTCCGTCTCTACAGTTCAATGACGGCAGGCTTGAGTCCCTCTCAATCCGCCTGATCTAAGTCTGGACAAACAGAGCTTTAGACCTTTCAGTTACTTAATCGGGACAAGTTAAGCCTCGGACTGACTTGGTCCACAAAGGTGATTCTCATTGGTCGACTTTTTTGATCATCTTTGTTTCCAAGGTGGGTAATTTGCTTCACTTTAAACCCGTCCTCCCCCACGTCGAGGAGTCTCAATTAGGCTCGGTAACAATTCGACTTCATAATCGGATTGTACCTGGGTAGTTGGATCACTGGACTCAGGCGCCCGGAAGATCACGAGGTTAAAACTCGTCTGGTCGGCCAAAGTTCACCTTGCAGGACGAGGATTTTCTCGCGCTTCACGTGATCTGGCCTGTCGTTGATTCGCATCGGCGGAACTCCTTTCATTTTTTCTTCTTTTCTTTCCTTATACTTTCCACTTGTCTTCAGTACACAGGCTTTCACCCACTGGGACCTACACTGGGCCTACAGAATACGACGCAGGTGAAATCTTCGCCTCATTTGTAGCTGGGTTGCTGGTAACTGCGGGACTTCGTGCAGGTGAGTTTAAACGGGGCGAGTAGGAAAGCTTATCTGAAACCTGTTGGGCCAAACACACGCAGCTACTCTCCATGGAATGCTTCATCCTACAAGGCGGTTTGCGATTCTGCTCTGCCTTTGGCTGTATCTCGTTTCGTCAATTCTTACATAAACTTTGAACGAAATCATGTTGGATTTCACGAAAACGCTGAAAATACTCAATCGATAGTTTAATGCATGACATATGGTATTTAACGTAACACAACACATGTGAGTGCATTGGCTCGACTTCCGGCAACCTTGGAAAATGAACCTCAAGCTGATTGTGTTGTCATCATGAAAATCGGAGACCAAAATGGCGGCCTATTGTAGAGCACAAAGAGATAATAAGATATCCGAATTTAAACAGAGATAACACAAGCATTTATGGTCGAAAAATCCAGATTCAAAAATGAAACTGAATGCTAATGTAAGCTCCACGAAATAATTCCAATGCACGGGGAAATCTAACGAGAAGTAACTTCGTTAACACAGCCAGGAAAAATCAGCCGGAGCTCGCTAACCGCAGACAACGACCGCACCGAACTTACGCTGTGATACAACCTGCAGATGTTATTTTCACACTGGTGTCACCATAGGTTCATATATAAACTTTATGTTTTACTCTATGGTCACTCGGTTGCTCCTATATTGTATTTTTGTTTGTTTTACTGTGCACCAGCCCTTCTACTTTGATGCGTGTGTACCGAGTAGGACTTACCGATGCACCAGGCCTGCGTCCAGCTAGAGAGTACAATTAAACACGTGGTCCAGCTGCGTATATCCCTTCGTCATTCTGTAAACAAAACTTCAAGATCGTCTCGATTCATGTTATTGATTCGGTTTCTCGGCCACATTCCCACACCATCCCATCCTGTCTCTTTTAGATCAAATACGCCTGCCAAGAGTATGCCGTCCGAGCTGTGGACTTCCTGGCGCGTCGTACGCGATTGGCTTTTCTCAACGCGGTAGCTGCTCAAGAGGCGCTACCGCATGTTATCGAAATCATGGCAAAAGAACTGAATTGGGACAGCCGTAAAAGAAAGGAAGAAACACAACATGCACAGGTAGATTGTTTGGCTCTGTGGTGACTTTGCGCTTATCGGGCGAATCCATATGCCATATTTGCCGATTTGTTTTGAAATCGTCTGTATGTGTGGCCGGATTAGGACACGCATTCACATTTGGAACCTTGAAATACTTTGAAGTGAGCTTTGGTCAGTTTGATTGTTGGGACCGCCAAGCGTTCCACTTCTAATTCGGCACTCTCTACATGAACTTCACGTAGAATGCGTATTGTGGAAGTAACCACACGTAGTGTTTATCGTCATCTACTCTGTCCAACCGTCTTACTCACTTACATCATGAATCCGTATCAGACGCGGGAACCGGATTCTGGAAATATGGATTTCCCAGCAGGTTTTCATGTGATCCACATTTTCATATGTAAAAAATTACTTTGACATTGGAGTGGCCCCCCTTACTGAATCATTTTTTTTAAAATCCGACCCACACAGCCAAAACCGTTTTTCCACCGTTCGCCAACGTTACACTTTTTCTATTTTAAGACCTTTTGTTTTCTGAGTTTATGATACTTCTCAATACTACGTGAAATAAGATTTTTGCCATGTTGCGGTTAGTCTGGGTTTCAACGTAGTTCGACGGATTGTGTGTTGAGGCTAATGCAAATCCAGAATCGGATGCCGTCATTTCCTTGACTGTCGTTAATATACATTTCAAGCGTGCATACCAACACCACCCGAGGCGTTTACCTCTTGATTCCTTCTGGAATATTGGGCGATTTCTGTTGGTTGCTATATTGTTGCAACTAGAAGGACGATATGAAGTCAGAGTAGGGTTTAGAACTCAGACGCTGTCTTTGCATTAAGCTTAGAAAGCCTTCCCGACTTGTTCAGAGCACGCTTGGATCTAACCCCCACGGTGGCATGTACAGGCCATTAATAACACGCATGAACAAACCCCAAATGTTTACGCTATTAGGCGAACAACAAACAACTCCGGATTAGCGCTTAAACAGTCAACACACACGAAATCAGTCAGCGTCGCGGACCCTCAAAGGTACGCTTGGTTGGGGAAAAATGACTTCCATAGAACTGGTCGATCAAACACTGTTCAAGCAATCCTCTGAACAGCCACATGTTGCAAACGGATGCACAGTGCACACTGGCGTATGTGTACGGATGGCGAGGGTGTTTCATAATCACGGACAAAAACATCCCGTGAATACGGAGTTAGGAATAGTGACGTTGAACGGAGTACATACGCATGCACGTATTCGCCCACAGACTGCATTCTGTAGAGATCTGAGCAGCCGCAAAGTGCAGGGAGTGACCAGCTCTGGTGAATTTCGCCTAGTTCCACTACTCGGGGACTAATCTTAATCGAAGGAGTGAGGCGCGTATGAGTTGGTTCAGCTCAAATCATGAGATGTATTGAACGTCAAACACTTCCTGAATGCGATACACAAGTAGGCTCATTGATACGATTGCACCATGCAATCTCATTTCGATCCAAGGGTCGCGTTGCTATGCATTAACCTTGTCCCCACGCAGCCCTTACCGGGACATACTGCAATGCAGCCTCACTGCACGCCTATCGACTCTCGCGCAGTTGTTTTGCAGTCCAAGTGATTCGCATTTTTCCAGTTCTCTCTCACAACTCATCCGATTTACTTTTTCCTGTCTCCAGACTTTTCTGCTCCTGTACACCGATCGATTGTTATTTTTTGTTTTCGTTTCTTTCACTTGCCTCGTAACTACAGACCATTTTCCATTCATTCCTTTGCTCTTTGGTTCATCGCCGCTGCTCCATATCTGTTACACTAGGCATTTCTCTGTCGCGAAATGGGACTCGGACTATCTGCACTGGATTCCGCCCCGATCACTTTAACTATGGAGGAAACTGATCAGCTGCTTCAACGTTTCCGAAAGTTGGACAGTGGTGCGAAGGGCTATATCACGTTATCCGATTTTGAGCGCTCTTGTAAGGTCAGTTCACTCGCTTGAGACCCAGATCAGTTTTCATCAATTTGTTCTTTTTGTATTGGCACAATGTTATCTTCGTAACTTCACAGCACGTATTGTGCTGCTCCGCTACTCGTTAGCTTGTTAGCTCATATTCCATACATTTCCATTTCAAATAACAAATCTGAATGTTTCTCGAGTTCCCTGATCAACTTTCACCATATATGCGGCTTACAAACACCAAACATCTACTGTTCCCATACTGTCGATAAAAATTACTGGCGCATCTTGGTTCACCTTTGGTTCGCTCTGTCGTGTACTCCATTGTGCTCTCAACATACTTTTTATCATCTCATTTTTTCCGAGTCCCTCATCTGTTGATTTGAGACTAACTTCTGCTCCATTGGGGACAAAACAGGCCGTCGTCCAATATTCATTTCAGTAGAGTGCGGGTGCCTATCTCCGATGTTTCTGTTAATAGCTACTAACGTAATTGGTGGCATTTGGTAGGATGTGAGCTGTCCGACCGTTTCGCTTCACCATTCGAAACAAGCTTGCGACAACATGTGTCTGTCAGAACTCACTTGCTGCTGGCTCCGTCGACTTACCGAACCACGTCAGTTTGATCCTCACCCCACTGTTTACATGCCTATGGGACTGCTCGCGCCGAGATCACTAATCATGCTATGATGGGTATATTTTCCGGCTCCTACGCTAAATCTCTGGCAGTCGACACGGTTCCCGTGAACAACAGCCTGCGTTCAGTCCGTTAGATAGCACCAGCTATAGTTCTCAAATTGGACAGCACCAGCTTGATCCTGGTTACCGCATATGCTCAGCCGACTGCTAATGACACCTACTAACACGGGCGTAGCACACTACTACACAATGTTGGAAGTTGATATGCCGCTGCATTAGCATAGGCTAAGTAGACGCCATTAGGTCACCTGGCTTCCCCAAAACCTCAGCTGAGCGGGAAGTGTAGCTTAGTTGCGAGTGCGATTACCATGCTGATCGTTTGCTGTTGCTGTGCACCGATCGCCGGCTTTTTTCACACAGCAGCAGCCATCTGGACAGAAGAGAGATATCAGTGGAGCTGACAGGTCTCCACCGTGGAGAATGCTAGCCAGCGCAAGACGTACCTAGCTAAAAATACACCCACAAATAAGTAACGGAATACAGATTATGAATTGTACTATAGACACAACATATCGCACACACACTCCACTTTTAATGATCAGTAGCCTCAGGACAAGTGAGCTCTGGCAGACAAAGGTTGCACCTGTAGTCACTCGCTTGCAGTCGACTATGATAGTGGCGTTCCACTGATACGGCAAAAAAAGATACGCGAAAACTCCAAAATGTGTGCAATACGACCAACTGCATTCGAATGAGTCAGGTAACTAAATCAATAGCAGCTGAAGAGCATGGGAGTGGAGAGCCGCAGAGAGGCAACTGCATACAAATACCTGCCACAAGGTTTGCTTCTTTCCTTCTTCCCTCATGCATCAGTTGCGGAAGGAATCGTATGGTAAATCGCCAAACGGCCAGCGATACCATGGGGTTACTTAAACTTATTCAAACTGAGGCCTCCAAACGATCACACTGTCAGCTCGGCTGAAAAGCATCAAGCGGATCGAAGTGAGGTTCTGCAATCGCGGTCCATAACTGGACATACTCCCCACGGCTCTGTGGTTTAGGTGATTGAGTTGACCACGAGAAGCAGGTTACCTCGGCATGAGTAGCCGGAGAGTAACACCTGCTCTCCAGACCCTGTCACCTCGTTTCTTCATATCGTCTTTCAGTTCACAATGTTCTTCTTCCTCGTCTATCGAGCAAGACATTTTCGGTGACTCCGTAACTGAGAGTCCCAACGCGCCAAACTCGTCCTTCATTTCACATTTGTTCTTTCATCAGCATTATACTTCATCCCATCGATCATCTGCTAGCGCTAACTCTCACTCTGTCTACACCATTTCTCGACCAAGTTGTCCCCTTGGGCAACAGAATTAATCTGAACGGCAAAGGAGTTGTGCTGAGAGGCAAACAGGTGGGGTCGTTACACAATTAGTTGGAACCTTGCGTATGCCGCTCACTTGCGCAACTTTGCGTGTGTACCGCGGCGCCTTCAGCCAATAGGGCCTCAGACGCACTAAGTCATACAGGTGCAGGTGGAAAGTTTCAGCTCCTACCTGGTACAATGTCGGTGGCCGATGCACCATGTAGGCCTGTGTTTTTCTGTCCAAGGAAGCGATTCCCACCAATGAGAACGAGAGTAGAGCTTTGAACAACAATTCAGTTGGTATAACCAGCCACATGCAAATAAGTTTGCCGCGTGATTTTGTACGTGCAGTTCACCTAAACACAATGGTTGGCTTGTATGTTCGGCACTTGCTGGAGGTAAAGAACGTCATACTGAAAGGGTACGAAGAAGGAGACGATTGGAAGCAGGTCGTTTGCACGCTGAAAGTTAACGTGAAAACTTGCCGCAACTGGATATAAGCGTACGAATCGACAGAACTGGTGGGGAAGCACGGGGGAATCTGTCACGGAGAACTGGGAGAAACCTACGTCGACTCTGGTAGAGTGAGTTTTTGCTGAGCCTACCGTTGCCCTTGAACTTCTTCATATCTGGTTGAAGACGGAGTTCGAAATTGCAGTAAGTAGCAGCACCGTCTCACGACACTTGAATGGTAGACTGATAACAATGATAAACTGCACACCATTCCGGAGTCCATGTACACACTGGAGAACAAAAAGCGACACAGGTCATTCGTTTTGCAGCTCATGGATTACGAGGTGGAAAGAAGGCAACCGGTGTAGATTGGTGAGACTGTTCAACTTATTTTGCTCCCGCACTCGTGGCCGCTCACGACGTGATAGTCAAGCGCAGTGTACAGTAGCGAACAGCCGGGGACCAAATGTTCATCTTCTCGACATCATGACAAGCAACGGCTTGATAGCGTGTTCGGTTCTGAGAGGAAGTTACAACAAGCAATGGTGCGCTCAGGGGCTGCGACAAGTGCTTGATACCAACGGAACTGGGTTTGTGGAAACGTGCCTTTTGATTTGCGACAACGCGCTTTGTCACACGCACCTGGAGAAACCGTACCGCTCTAGGAGACTTCTACACTTTGCGCCATACTTTCCAGCACTCAATCCCATCGAGGGCATCTGGAGCATACTACAGGCTCATGTAAAACAGGCAATGAGGGGACGGTACTCTGAGATACCTTACCAGGTTAACAACGATGTACATGACGTTCCTGATGAAAAGCGCCTGGTTGAATATGTGCCAGTAAACCATGCGAAATTTTAGCCCATTGCAATTAAGGATGTAAAGTAACCGCTCATTTTCGTCTGATCAACACTGGAGCTAAGCTTCGGCAAATCGCCCGCCTAGTGTAATATGCGTCATGTCGAGAGTGCCCACTACCGAATGTACGCCCGGAAACGGAGGCCCGTTTTTAGAAGCTGCTGGTAATGACTATGCTCTTCGTCTGTGGCGATATCAGGTCAATGGCTCGAGATATTTCTTTAGTTGATATTGCCTGCAACAGAAATGTTCAACTTGTTATGCTCGAGTGGTTGCGGAGTAACAGCCGCTTGTGTTTTGTTTGACTTCGAATGTCTATTATGGTCAATCAGCCTCGTCCAATGACAAGATGTGTTTCCACCGTTTTTGTTTACGCTTCCACCGATTGCTACTCAGTTTGTATCAGAGGCGAATTAGTAGCTCTCGTTGCATTTGTGTGCGGGGATGCTGATAGCATGAGATGCCTGAGTCGACGGTCGTTTTTGGGGGTCGATACACATAGAGTGCATAGCGGTGACTGCTTTTTGCAAATATGCGCTGACTACAGCTTTCATATTTGTGGCGCTGCTCTCCAACTCAAATGTTCACACGGCGTCGCGTGGCGTCCACTGAACTCCACTTTGACTTTAACCCACTTTGCCAAATTTTTCTTTGGCTACAGATGGCACATATCGGTTCAAAGCTGTCACTCAATTTGCAATGCAAGTCACGATTCCGATCATGTTCTGCTGTCTGTGTGCATGCGCTATCTTGTAGTTGGAGCCGAATGGACTCCTTATTCTCGCCTCTTGAGTACTGTTTAAATGAACACAAAACCGGGCGAGCGTTAGAGCCAACACCACTATCATTCACATGTGAAACTGTTTGTTTATCAGGGAAAGCGGAGAACCATAATGTAAGCTTTTATGGCACAAGCGACAAGAATAATATCTGTTCCACGCAAACGGTGGCTGGATAGCAGAAAGGTTGCGTTCCGAGAATATATTTATATATTTTCTTTCATTTCTAAGCTGCATTGTAATCCGTTGCGCATCTACTTTTTGAACATATTTCTCTCCCTACGCTCAGTCGCAGCCCGTAGTGATAAATTCCGCTTTACAGACAGCTTACTGCTCCTGGTTAGGTTTTATCTAACCACAACAACATTACATTCACTCTTCCGGCTTCAACGAAGTGCCTTATTCGAGGCAATTCATTCATGACCTAAACACGCATTCCGCGACTCAGCAATCTTACAACTAACCGGCCGTGTTTGGCTTTGGTTTCGAGATGCTTAGACAATGACGGCTGTTATGACTGCGCTGATTCTTTCAAACTAAAACTACCTTCATGCATCCTGATGTACTACTTCGCGTTCGGCAACGTCTGCACAGCGATGTGCCTACAAATTTCGGGCTGCGCGATTCCATCTTTAACTAACATTCTGGACCAAGTGCCTTCACTCTGTTTACGCTCCGTCACTAACGAGTCTCCTTGAACGTAACGAACAGTACAGTAAACTATTCTCTAGATTGGTAACTGAGAACTTGTTTCAGCCCACTTCTTGGGCTTGCAACCAAGATTCTTTTGCATATTTAGCTTCCACGTTGTTGTTCTCTGGGTACGGAATTTCAGTTGGACAGAATTTCAACCTCCACTGAACGCTAACCGGTGCCAGCGCATTTGCCACTGCATAGCCGAAAGATCAGCTACTCTCTTTGGATGTAGA